TGTACACAGGCTGGCCTTGAATTCAGAGGTCCACTTGTCTTTGCCTCCCAAGTGCTGGCATTAAAGATATACTGACAGGGGCTTTTGTGTATAAAGCAAACTTGGATCTTTCTAGCTACTCCCTGTTCTGTGCACTTTTCCGCCAGCCTGGTGCAACAACCGAGTGAGCCCTAAATAACACAGAGAGAATTATGAAACTATTGGCTGGCCACTAGCATTTCTTATTGGCTAGCTCTGTCTAATTTATTAAGCCATAATTACTAATATATGTATTTCTACATGGTCTTATCTTACTGAGAACACCAGCGTCCTCTCTTCCTGAGATCACATTGTAACTCTCTCTTACATCTCCCAGAATCCTCCTTGTGTCCTCTTCCCACCTATCTTGCTTCCCTATTGGCCAACAGTACTTTATTCATTAACCAATAAGAGAAACATATTTAAAAAATGACATCTCCTATCAACTCCCCTCATCAAGTTTTATGTGTAATCCTATGATTGCTCCCTCTCACCACCATGGATCTACTAAGATGAATTGCAGCCAGAAAGTACTCCTCAGACCCTTCAAAACCCAAGGTATTTTTTATTTTCTTTATAAAGAAAGAAAGACCTAGCCAGGGTCATTGAAGTGTCTGATACACAAGTGTGAAGACCTAAGTTTGGATCCCCAGTACTTGTGTGTGTGTGTGTGTGTGTGTGTGTGTGTTAGAAAAGGCAGGGAGATCCCTGAAGCTCATTGGCTGGAAAGTCTAGCAAAATAACAGGTAGGTTCAATGAAAGAGATTGTCTCAAAAATAAAGATAGGAGAGATGGCTAAGTGATCAATAGCATCCATATCAGGTAGCTAAAATCTCCTTTGATTCCAACTCTAGGGGTATCTGACACCTCTAGCCTCCATGGGTACCAGGACACAAGTTTATATATCCACATACAGACATACACACAGACATGTAATTAGACATAAAATAAATCTTTAAAAAGTAAAAGTAATCTTGGAAAGCCAGCAGATGGTTAGATGGTTACCTCTGGTCTCTATATACATGCTCATACATGCAAATGCATCTGTCTACACACACACACACCCATATGAACACATACAAGAACATGTACACACACACACACACACACACAGAGAGAGAGAGAGAGAGAGAGAGAGAGAGAGAGAGAGAGAGAGAGAGAGGAAAACCTAACAAGGGGCATTTTGCTAGAGTGATGGAAAACAGAATAATACATATAGTGAAAAGAAGATTCTCCAGAAGACACTAAGTTGCTTTGCATTAGGGCATTGGAGAGGAGGGGTGGGGTGAAAGAGGCTTGGATGGAATAAAGTCAACACTGAAATTATTGGAATTAATAAGATAATGGGTAATGCTTCTTTCCATCATTTCTAAGAAGTTAAAATTTTTGTTTTTACTCTATGTATGCACAATTGAACACACATGAGCGTGCACGCACACACACACCAACTAAAGGCACACATGTGGCGGTTAGAGGATAGCTTTGTGGAGTCTGTTTTCTCCTTTCTTTGTATCAGTCTCAGGGATTGAGCCCAGGCCATTAGGCTCACACATTGTGAGACCATTGTGAGAATGGCAAGCGCCTTTATCTGCTGGGCCATCTCATCAACCCCTCCTCTTAAGAATGTCTATGTTTACATTTTCTATAATAAAAATGTTTTCCTGGTTAGGTTGCGTGTCTTAAAGAACAGGCTAAATACCCTCATGTCAGCATTAATCTTGTCTACAGAGAACTGTAATCCAGGAAACTTCTAAACAGCTCCTCAAACCAAACTCAGTAAAACAGTTTTCTCTGAATTTGCTTGAGTTTCTTCAGTGGAAACCCCCACCCCACACATAAATTGCTGGTATTTTAATCAGAAAGATAAACATGTGAATTTAAGCAGTTGTGGAAATCTGATTGGCAGGACAACCTAGAGGCTAAATCGTTCCTCAGTGATGATTGTCACTGGTCCCTTTGCTCCAGCACTAACTCACAAGTGGCATGCTGTGGGTATCTAACTATACCACACTTCCTTTTTACTACTCTGAATGTGTTTTATTTCCTTAGATGTTGCTGAGGTTTGACTCTTCATAGCTGCTCATGTGTCTTTGTGCACATGTATGTGTGAACATGTTCGTATCTATGAGCATTTGAGTGTGGAGGCCAAGGTTAGACATCTGGCATCTTCCTCAGCTGTTCCTCTACCTTACTTTTTGAGATAGGATCTCTCACTGAACCCAAAGCTCAACCAAGGAAGCACCAAGTATTGGGAACCAGCAGTCTGCTGACCCCGCCCCCGATGATGGGCAGGATGCTCACAGCCAAGTCCTCTCTATGTCATGACTTACCTGGCTGATCAAGCTTTACCTGGCTGCCAGGGGACTCAGTTACGCATGCCCAAGTTCCCCTTTTAAAGCAAGCGTGCCAAGCGCGCCTCTCTCTTGCTCTTGCTCTCTCTCTCTCTCTCCTCTTCCTCTCCCTTGCTCTCTTCCCCCCTTCTCTCTTCTCTCTCTTGCTACCCTCTTCTCTCCCCTCTATCAATAAACTCCACGTGGGCGCTGAGTCTCGTGTTTGTGTTTCATAGGCAATAATTATAGCAAAAGAATAACACCAAGGGCATTTGGTTTGAACCCAGGACTCTCGTCTCCTCTGCCCTGGCTCTGGGATTCTTAGCATTTGCTGTTACATTCTATTTTTCATGTGGTTTCTGAAGACTATACTCAGGTTATTGTGTTTACACAAGGGCTTGACCAACTGACCTGACCTGTTCTTCCAATCTGCAAAGGGCTAACTTTATAATTTTTTTTTTTTTTTTTTTTTTTTTTTACTTTTTGAGAATAAAATAATCAGTAGCCTGAAAGACCAGCTCTCAAGGCTACACCCAAAGTTCAAAGAAAAGCTCCACAGAGAAGTGAAACTGAGCTGAGCTGAAGGTTTTCTATCTGAAGGGTATGGAATTAAATTCACCTGTATTGTTCAAGCCATGCTCCTTATTAGTCTATGCTTCAGCCCTCCAATTTTCTTCTAAGTTGTAATTCTTTCTAGATCTCCTTTCTGTCTCAATTCTCTGTTCCAATTCTCCCTTGCTTCTTTGTTCACCTAGCTTAAATACATTTTTTTTTTTTTTTTTTTTTTAACAGGAGGCTTGAGAAGAGGATGACTGGATTGTGTTTGCTTTGTATCTGGACTGACTGATTCTATTGGGCCTTAACAAGAGCCGTATTGAAACATTGGCCTTCAGCCGAGGGAGAGGTAGCTTTGGCACCAACTTTTCCTTTTGTAAAACAAAAACAAGTTTTTTAAATACAAAGTTAAATGGCTAGAAATGACGGCCTATGTTAATTATTCTCAGGACAAATTCTAATGACAAAATACCTGACAAGCTACTTGAGGGAGGGAGGGAGGGTTTATGGAGGTTCACAGCTTGCTGAGATTCTACAGTTCATCAGCCAGGGCAAGGCACAGCTGCAGAAGTCTGAAGCTGCTGCCCACAATGCACCAGAGCAAGGAAACAGAAAGACAACAAGAGGCCAGGGTCTGAAACCTTACCAGAGACAGATTGGGTATTTGATTGTTCACCTGGAAATCCCTACCTTGACTTACCTTGTAAGGTTTCAGGACCATCCTGGGAGCCAAAGACAAAGTTGCCAGGGTATAGACCTAATACATTTCTCATAAAACTGTTCTAAACAACCTTGAGGGCTGGTGAGATGGTCCAGCCTACTAAAGCATTTGCGTGCAAACTTGACCACCTGACCCAGAGCCTATGCCAAAAGGTGGAAGGAAAGAAGCAACTCACACAGTTGTCTCTGACCACCACAGGTGAACCCTGGCACACTGCCCCTCCCCCTTCTTCACACACACTCTCTCACACACAATAGCAATACTTAAAAACAAAACAAAAGCTTCTGAGAAATGGGATTGCAGGGTTTGTGAAACAGTGATTTTAAAGGTGTCAGTTTTGATGGCAACTAACAAAATAATCTCTGAGTAGTATGTTACTCTAGACACAATAGAAATATCTGGCAAAGGGAGAGAGAGCAAACGACAAGGCTCTGGGCAACAGCAGATGCTAATGAGTACCCGGCTCAGCTGTTGACCTTCTGTGCTTTTGGGTCCTCTTGGTCGGGCACCTGAGACTCCATCTGCCCTCTTTGAATTGGATTTAAGAGCAAGATTATGTGAGGGATAGTTGCAGCTTTTAATTTTGGTGAAAATTAAAATTACATTTTGCCACTTATTGAAAAATGTCATGCATGCTATGTGAAGATAACTTTAGTCAAACTGCTGACCTGTCCACATCTTCCCTGTAATTCCCCTTGTTCAAGTTGATTGTTTTGTTTTCAACAGACTTGCTAAGGATGTTTCCTCCAATGTAAAGTAAATGAAAAACTGAGAAACTATGGTGACTTAATACACCTAGCTTCCATACAATTATGCCACAATGTTAGCCTGAGGGATAAATTATAACCAATGTACCTGTGTAACTCCCAGCTGAGCAAACATCCACAGAATGGACAACTGCTGTCTACTTTGGGGAACAGGTGGTGGGTGGGTGTGGGCAAATGTGTAGTCAGTTAAACTTAAGGTTTCAGCTGTTGTTTATTTGTGACACAATATGGACTGACAAAACTTAGTAAGTTGTTCAAAGCCAGAGAGAGCACATTGGTGCCACTGTATAGCCAGAGCCCAGCCCATGCCACGCCATGCATCGTGCACACTCCATCAAGTTTTGCCAGGCAAACCTGCAGTTCCATTCCAGCTAAGTCACTTCTGGGTGTCACTTTTTCGTTCACTCTCCAAAGCCTTTTTTGATGGGTACACATGGTTTATTTATTCAATTTTGTGCTATCTTGAATTTCACACAAACACAACTCTCCTGAATGTGAAATGAAAATGCATGCAGTGTTAGGGCAACTTCACCAGCTTTGGGGTGTCTGCCCACTTTTAGGATGAGGGTTATATAGAAATTTGCTTGTAATAAAAACGGTTGACCACCATGACAAAAATAAGGATATAATATCAAAATAAATCAAAGGATATACAGTATTGTCATTATTCTGATACAGAATTTTTTACATAGAAATATTGATACCAGTACAAATGGCAAGATATCAGGAAATCCATTATAATAGACCTTTGGGTTACAAATAAAAGTTTAAATTATAACTTAACACCAATTTTTAAATGATGACTTCTGTCACACCAGATGAAAATCAATGCTTTTTCCTTAAGTGGCATTCTTTGAATGTCCCCACCAAGAAGATAAAAAAAAAAAAAAAAAAAAAAAAAAAAAAAAAAAGAAAGAAAGAAAGAAAGAAAAAAGAAAAAGAAAGTATAATATTCCATTAGAGAGAAAATGTCTTTTGCTTAAACAAAATCTATAAAGACGGACCACACACTTTCAGTGTCCCATTAATTTTGTCCTCCCATTCAGACAGTAGAACTGAAACCGGAAACCCATTGGACCAGATGGGTGCAGGGAACTTCCAGAAGCACTCCCAACTTCCTACTCCTGGTGAGCTGTCTGGAGTGTCCTGGTTCAAAATGCACCTTCTTGCCACCCAAGAAGTATAGAGCTAGCTGACTGAGCCTCTTCAGTGAGTCTACCAGCTAGCCAGGGTTGCCGAGACCCCACTTTAGAACACTAGGCTAAGCTGAGGGCCATCGGTCTTTGAAGAGTGAGGGAGTGTCTATGCACCCAGTAGGAAAAAAAAAAGTTTCTGCAATAAAAAATACCTACTCTTATTCTCCCATTCGTTAAAATGCTTGTTGTTGCCATTCCAAACATGTCAAACCAAAACATAAACAGGAAAATGAGAAGACATTCCAGAACGCTTTGCCCTTTACATATCTATCCAAAAATCAAAACTCTCCTTCAAAAAAATAAATAAATAAAAGTCACTTCGGAATGTTACTTGGGAAGTTGAGGAAGCGAGAGCGTTTCTTTCTTTGTTTGACACAATCACAAGTGAGACTTGACAGACACTGTGCAGCGGAGGTTCACACTTCAACTTCCTACTTCAAAGTCATCACTTCCGGGCCAAACAGATAAACCGGTTGAAAGAGGTTCGTAAACACGCCAAGCCTGGCAGGCAGGGACACGTGTGATGCATTCTCCGCCCCCAAAATGGAACCTAAAAGAGACAAGGGAACCGACCAAGTCAGATGTTTCAATTTCTCTGTTTTGGTTTATTTAATTCATGATATGTATGTATATGTGTGGTGTGTACCTGAGTGTGCATGATATGTACATTATTGTGTGGTATGGGCATCTGAGAGTGTGGGTCCAACTCCAAGCACATGAAGGCAGAGGCCAGAGCAGGCTGTTTCATTTTCTTGGGACAGGGTCTCTTACTAAAGATAAGCTTGTTTGTTTCAACTAGGTTGGTCTCTTACTAAAGATAAGCTTGTTTCAACTAGGTTGGCAGGCCAGTGAGTTCCTGGAGTACACCCATCTCTACCCCTCACCCCCAGTGTTGGGGTCCTAGGCACTGAGCACTGATGCTTGGCTTTTTATGTGCATACTGGGGATATGATCTAGGGTCTTTGTGATTACAGAGCAAGCACTCTTACCAACTGAGTCATCTGCGCATAACTCTGACAAAAGAAAAAAGAAGAAGAAGAAGAAAGAAAGAAAAAGAAATGAAGCCATGAAGCCATTCTGTGGATATTTGGATCCTAATCTGTGTTACCAAATGTTCAATAGGCAACACACAACCCTTTACAATATACATCATCTTTTCCATCCCTGCCATCAGCATGTGAAGATTTCAAATACAGACTCACACCTGTTTTACAGATGAGACATTAAAGTACATAGATGAGAGAACACCCCAAGTTCATGCATCTGGAGCTGAAGGCTTGGCTATAGATGGACCAGAAATACAAAGTCTTTTTTGCCTTCTGTATTTTCTCATTTTGGTGTGTGTGTGTGTGTGTGTGTGTGTGTGTGTGTGTGTGTGTGTGTGTGTGTGTGTTGTGCATATACACATCTATGTGCTTGTGCATGCACATTTATGCAAGGTTCATGTGGAGGGCTGAGGTGGATGTTGAATGCCTGCCTTCCTCAGTCACTTTCCCATTTTGAGACAGGGTCCCTCAGTAAAACTGGAACCAGTCAATTCCAATGGACTGGTTGGCCACTGAGCCCCAGGGTCTCCTTGCCTTTTCCTCCTCAGTGCTGGCTTTACAGAAGCTCACCACTGTGCTTGGCTTTTGCGCTGAGGTTTTGGGGGACAGAACCCAGGTCTTCATGCTTCTGTCGCAAGCGTGTTACTGAATGAACCACCTCTGTGGCCCCTCTTGTTTGATTTCTTTTTATAGTGTCTTGCTATGTAAGCTCCATAAGGACAGGCAAAGCCTACCTATGACCACATGTATTCAATACACAAGGATGGATGAAGCCACAGCCAGTCACACACACACACACACACACACACACACACACACACCACACTCACCCACACGCACACACACGCACACACCACACACACCCCACATATACTCACACACACAGACACCACACACACACCCCACACACACTCACACACACACACACCCCACACACACCACACACACACTCACACACACACCACACACACACACTCACACACACCCCCCACACACACACCCCACACACACCCCACACACACACACACACACACTCACACACACACCAAACTTAAGTTACTGAGGATGTCTAGAGGGAAATCATGGAAAAGGCAAGTTCAGTTTGAAGAAGTGCTGTACCCAGATGCTCTCAGCCTGAATGAGAGGAGATGGTCTGCTTCATGACCAAAGCAACTCCACAATTCCTGTACATGCCACCAGTGACACTAGATTGAGGCAGGTCAACTGACAGCTAGCACTCAAAATATGTATGCATCCCAAAGTTCTAGAACAAAGAGAGACAGGAAAACCTTCCAATCCAGTAGGTACAGGGTCTGTAGTTCAGTTAACACCCTGGCCTGGTTGGGTGGCATAGTCCTATAACAGCAGAACTCAGGATGCTGAAAAGGAGTGTCATGAATTGGAGAGTAACCTGGGGTAGGGAAGAGGGAGAGATGGGGAGAGAGAGAGAGAGAGAGCGGTTGACAGAGAATGTGAACCTTGTTTCCAGTTTTGAATGTTTTATTGGCTGTCATTAATTTCTGGTCTATCCCATCAAAAGAAGCCACCCCACATCAATTACCCAGACATTTTCAAGATATAGTTTTTTATAGATTAAAAAAAAAAAAAAAAAAAGGCAAAAGGCTGTCTTCAGACAGTGGCGGAACCATTCCAACCTTACTCCTGGGTCGACTTGAGAGGGTGGACCCAATGCTCATGTACCAAGTAAAAGCCAGGAGACCTGGGTGTATGCCTTGGTGAGGCCACACTCTCCCTCAATTCTTCTTACCTCCTTTTTCTTTTTTCTTCTCTTCGCCCTTCTTCTTTCCTGCCTTCCATTTGCGACATGGCTCTGAGTGGGTCAGGGAGATGATTGGCATCAATAAACACAAAGGGAAGAGAGAGAAGCAGCAGAGGGCAGGGCTTGCACTGTGCTCACCAGGCAGAGCAAGGCACACAGCCAGGCCTCCTCTGGTGCCTTTTGCCTTTTTAATGAGTAGTTATTTCCAGGGGGCTAAACGTGGCATCTATACGCGGCCACCCTGCCCATAGGGTTCAGGCAGACGGCATACTCAGAATGGTCCTGCCACTGTGTGAGTCAAGGCTGCTAAGCTATGGCGGAGGTGAGGGGGGTGGGGAAGATGGCTACCACTCAGAACACAGCCAACAGCTGGGTATAGCTGGGCCAGCCTAGACAATGACAATCAGGCAATGTGGGGTATGCCTACCATTATCTTTGCATTCTGACTCTTGAGATTTTGCAAGACATCTTCAAGCCAAGCCTTAGTGTCCAATATGGACCAGTGGCTCTCAATTACTAGGGATGATTCTGTCCATACAGCAATATCCAGCCAGTTGTGTCTGTCACAGCTGGGATTGGTGTGTGTGTGTGTGTGTGTGTGTGTGTGTGTGTGTGTGTGTGTCTGTAGGGGATAGAAATGTTGCTAAATTCCTAAACATCCAGGATAGCTCTCTCAGTAAATAGTGAACTAATTCAAAATGTACATAACTGGCAGCCAATAGCAATATTCAAGGACCCATGCTTGTCCCAGGCAAGTGCAAAATAATCATCCCATTACAGGGTTATACACAGGATCCAGCAAAGGTTTCAAGTTGATATGCTCCCTACTATCTCCAGGCCCTATTCTAGGTACTTAAGGATGCAATAATGAACCAGAAAGGAAAGACTCTTTGCAGGAACATCAATCCAGACTGTTTTTAAGGAGCTTCATCCTGATGCTTGCCTTTTCTCATGCAAACAAACCAAGACTCAACCCCGTTTCTCCTTCCAAGCATCCCTTGCAAGCAGCCAAGCTCATAGCAGCACTCTGAAACCATTCATTTAGCAGACACTTGCCTGCTTTTCCCTGGGTCCAAACACTTCTGGTTCAGAAGCCTCAAAACAAAGCAAACAGGTATCCATGTATAGAGTGATGAGGTGTGTACATCCATCCACATTCTAAACACAAGTCCCAAACCTGGTAGCTTGCTTTACAATTAGTGGAAGACCAACCTCTTACAGCCTACATTTCCAAACAGCTTGCGGTACTTTAAAAGGTAAAACTGAAGCACAGACCTGTAAAATCCTACAAGGGACTGAGGCAAGAGGATGGTTGAGTTCAAGGCCCACTTGGACCACTTAATGAGATGCTATCTCAAAATGAAAGGAAAATGTGGGGCTGAGTATATAACTCGTGGCAGAAGCTTGCCTAAGGTATGAGGCCCTGCATTCAGTCTCCAGTAACACACAACACACAACACACACACCCACTGAAGGAGGGGGAGAGGAACATGACTCTGTAGTGAGGGAATTGCTTCCTATCCTAACTGCATGATCGCCTGTTGCTGAATTGTCCTCCAGTTTTGCAAGATGCCACCATCTGGAGAAACTAGGTATAGGGTGAAGGTTGAGAACACCTTCTGTTCTGTTTCTGTCCTGTGACACTGTCAACTTGAACTTGCAGCCACAGTTCTGATGATGAGCCAAGGAGTCACTGCACCAGTGACTCTTGACATCCACAGTGGGAAGAACGGGGAAATCACACATTATGTTCTCTCTAACCATCTTTTACTAAACTGTCACATTAGTTATCTGTCAGTCTTACCAACAATGCTCAACATTAACAAATAAACTTACTTAAAGTCTTTGAAAAGAGCACACATGTTATATTTACAGTGTTTAGTCATACCTCAAAAATTTCTTTAGTGAGATGCAAATTCTATTTTTTTTTCTTTCATAAAAGGGTAATGTGCAGGCCAAGTTTTAAAGTGAAATTAAAATAAAATTGTAGCTGTGGGGGAGGGGGTAAGTGCACACCTGTACTGTAATTCAGGAGGGAGAGGTTTACAAAGGGAGAGAGTGTAGAAAAATGAAAGAGCAATAGAGAGGGGGGAGAGAGGGAGAAGGAAAGAAAACGGAGAGGAAGAAGATATTGTTAAAATGTGTATATTAAAGCAGGTGGGCTGAGGAAATGGCTCAGTCATTTGAGTGCTTGCTGAGCAAGCATGAGGACCTGAGTTCTCATCCTAGCACCCACATGAAGGCCAGGCAGGCACAGTGTGTGTCTGTAATACCAGTGCGGAAGAACTGCAGACAGCTGGAAGACTGACAAACACACACCTGCCAGCCAGCCCAACTAAACCATGAGCTCCAGGGTCAATGAAAGCCCAGTCTTAAAAAATGAGGCATAAACTTAATGAGGAAGACAATAATATCAGCCCCTGGCCTCAACACACACACACACACACACACACACACACACACCTATGCAAACATATAATAGAGACACACATGCAAAGTAGATTGGAGGGGGTCTGTATCAGTTGCTTCGAATGGGCAAAGCTCTGTGTTCGACTCCAGAACAAACAAACCAGAAGATGGAACAACCTTAATGATGAGATCAGAACACCTATTTAAATTAGTAAATAAACAGTAAAACTAAAAAATATTCAAGTATTAATTATATTCATCAAATGCAATAGAAAACCTGGCATAAAAATCCTCCTCCTTAGTATTCTTGTTTTTTAAATCATGAAAACACAATCTAGCAAAACCACAATGTAAATTATTAATAAGAAATTAAGATACTGTGTTTTTATAACAGTGTTTTCTAAAGACATGATTTCATGAGTCACTCAAAGTGTTAAAAAAATGAATACCAGTTAAAACTATTGTTTCCCATGAAATGTGATTTCTCCAGGTAAACCAATGTTTTGGGCTCTTTGCTTTGTTGTTTATTTTGCTTTGGGTGGGGATTGGGATTGAATTCAGGTCTGTGGTTACATTAGGTAGTTGCTCTAACCTTGAGATACTTTTACTAGGGACTCACTCCCTAACCCATGCTGACCTTGAACTTGGGATCCACCTGCCTCAGGGTCCCAAGTCTGAGATTATATCATTGTGCAGTCAAGCCCCACTGTTTTATTCTACTTTGAATTATCAAATACAAAGTAGAGACCTCTGAATTTTAGAATAACAGTTTAACAACAACTGTAAGTTCACAAGTCAACAGATTCACTTGAGACAGAGCAAAGGACTGACTTCAAAACAGCCCATATCCATCTAGTGCTCATGCTTCATCTTAAATACTGTTCTATCCATTCAAAAGTCAGATTTGGGGCTTACTGACTGTGCCAACCTGAAGTAAAGGAATTTTCCATAAAGGATCTATAGTTTTACAGTTTTACTAAGAAACCACCCCTGAACTTGAATAGAAATGAAAAACTGTACCGTAATGTTCTTCAGGGCATATGTACAAAAACATTTTTCTTCACTAGCCTTGGAGAGAATGTAGCTGAGAACATTCTAGAAACACTACATTTTTTCTAGAATACAATTAACTTAATCTTCATCAAGATTATCAACTGCAAACAGCTGACCCTGAAAATAGCTCATCAAAATGACATTTCAAATCTTCCAGGACAGGAGAAAAGGATATGAAATGCCATAAAATCGGAGTTCTAGAAATATATTTCATGTAGACATCTCCATGGGGGAAGGTGAACATGATGTGAAATCTTGTATTAGAGCTCTTCTGTCAGTTTATCACTTGGTTTTATTATAAAACCATAGTTATTTATAGGTTCCTTTATTTGACCTGCCATGAAGACAAACTGCAGGGGCATAAGCAGGGCTGTGTGAGAAGCGAGACTCAGAACTGGCATTGCACCAAGTATGAACATCAAGTTAGATCACGGAAACAAAACTCTGTGGCTTTTTAAATATCAAAAATAGCAAAGGAGTCCATGCGCTGGCCCCGCCATGCCCTACCCACTTGAGCACTCAGCTAGCCTCTTTCTTATTTTTAGCTTTGCCTCCTTGGGGTCTTGTGAGAAGGAACCATGGTGGAAGATTAGCCTTGGAGACTATTGCAAGGATGAGAGACTTCATGCCTTGGATCTAGGACTGAGGCTTCCCACGACACACTATCAAGAGAAAGCCACTAAGGAGACTGTCATGTGATGTCACAAAAGATACCCATTCCATCAAGCAGAAGAAAAAAATGACAGAACTTGAAGACAAATCATTTAGATTGTTAGTGTCAGAAAGAAAGAACAATGTGTGTGTGTGTGTGTGTGTGTGTGTGTGTGTACAGAGAGAGGAAGGGGGAGAGGGGTGAAGGGGGGAAGAGAGAGGGAGCAGGGAGGGAGAGGGATGGGAGGAGGGAGAGAATGCAAGGACATTGGGATACCCTTAAAAATCAAATACTCAGATCACTGCACACATGAGGAAGAAGAACTAAGGCTGGGGGCATGGAAAAAACCTCCTCAGTAAAATGACAGCAAAAAATCTCCCCAAATTTTGGGAAAGACATGGACATCCAGGTACAAAAAGCATTTAGAACCTTAAACACACTGAACTACAGAAGCATGTCACTATGACATAGCATAGCTAAGTTGTGAAAAGTATAGGACAGAAAGGATATTGCAATCTGCTAGAAAGAAATGTTAAGTGATGGTTAAAGGCAAATATATTAGACAAATGGCAGATTTCTCAGAAGGAACTCTAAATGCCAGGAGGGCATTTAGATGTATTGCAGATGTATTTCAGACCCTGAATGACAATGACTACCAACTGATTGTGGTATCCAGCAAGGATGTCCTTCGCACAAGATAAGTATGCAACTTCTGTGGTAAGGATAGATTAAAGGAACTCATGGCCACTAAACCAAAATTACAAAAGATTCTTGGGGGGATCCTATACCCAGAAGAGGAAGAATTCAGTACACGTCATCATTAAGAACATGAATAAATCCCACTAGGAAAAAGAGATAAGCCAATGAGGAGTAAGAAGGAGTACTAGAAATACAGTAAACCATCAAATTCAGAAGCAGAGAAAGCAAGACCTGACACCTGGAACTATGGGCCAGTTTTCTATTCAGGAAAGCAGAGGGCCTTCATTCTGTTGACTGGCCCACGGAATGAAGCCGTCTGTGGTGGTTTGGATAAGAACAGCCCCTATAGGTTCAAGCATTTGAGTATTTGGTCTCCTGTTTGGGAGGATTAGGAAATGTGCCTTTGTTGGAGGACATGTGTCACTGGCGATGGACTTGAGGTTTCAAAACACTATTCCCTGGGTGATGGATGCCTTCTGATTGTGGTTTGAGTACTGAGCTCTCAACTGTTCCTGTAGCCATGCCTTTGCTCTGCAATCATGGACTCTAACCCTCTGAAACTGTAAGCCCAATTAAATGCTTTCTTCTTTTGTTTCTTGGATTTTGAATTTTTTTGTTTGGTTTTTTTTGTTTGTTTGTTTGTTTTGAGACAGGGTTTCTTTGTGTGGCCTTGGCTGTCCTAGTAGACCTAGTAGACCAGGTTGGCCTTGAACTCAGAAATCCCTATGCCTCTGCCTCCTGAGCACTAGTGTTAAAGGTGTGCGTTACTGCTACCCTGTTAATGTTTTCTTTACAAAGAAAAAAAGTAGATGGAAGGATCTGGAGAGATGGCTCAGACTATAAGCTGCGTGCCAAGTGAGCACAAGGACCTGAGTTCAGATCCTCTGCACTTGTGTAAAAAGCCAGGCACTGAGTGAGGAAGGCACCCAGCATCAATGTCTGCCATCTATAGGCAAACACAAAAGCATGTGCACACATGCATGTACACATATAACACACATGGAACAAATTACAAACCTGGACTATTAATGCTTATCCTGGTGGGCATCTTATCCCTGTCATTTGGTTTTCAGATATAGAAAAATGCTCAAATGACCACAAGTGATTTCACTTGGGTAGAGGAATGGAGTAACCAAGACCACACAGGCAAGGAGATGTCAGAAAGACAGAGGGCTTTATATATATATATATATATATATATATATATATATATATATATATATATGCAGGCTGTATGTATGACCTTAATGGTGGGCTTAATGTATAGAGTGCATGGGAAATATAAAATGTGTGTGTGAAGTATTGGGTAAGAGCAATATACACAGCAGTTTATATTGACTGGATGGCTCATACATCTGGCCCATGAGAGTATTTACTGTTAACACCAAAAGGCCATTTTTTTTTTTTAATTTTTGTAGGTATGCTCTATACAGGCTTCTCAGAGCAGGAAGACAACTGGAAGCTCAGGTTCAATGGTATCAGTGCACAAGAGAGGACTTGCTAGGCATAAGGAAGAAACTGGATTCAGTACCAAAAGAAGCTGAGCCAGTCTTGCCTGCTCCTGGGAAGCCTGGTGTGTAGACAGGTGAATGACAGTAAAGCCCTTGGTATCTTAGAATGTCCAGGAATAAAAGGTGTGTGTCATGAAAAACACAAAAAACAAAAAAACGACAGTGAGATCTTGCATGGTCAAACCACAGGAAGAATGGCTCAGGAAATGGCAACAGGAAACATTTCACAAGGCAGTCAACCACAGCACAGCTGGCCTTGACTTCAGCCTTCATACAGGCTCTACAGCAAACCCAACTCTAGGGTCCCCTCACTGAGCTGCACCTCATGAACAGGCTACCAAAGTTCATCTCCTTATGTTCACCCTGAGTGGGGGAAAATATGGAGTGTTATCTGGGACAGTTGGAATCATCTGGAATGTGGGCCGAATGTATAATAGCTTCAAACCCAAAGTCAAATGGGGGAAAAAAGAATTATTTGATTTGAAAAAGAAGTTTTAAGGAGCCACCATCCCTGGACCATTACCTCTGGATCAAATGCCTGATGGGAACAATGAGGATGAAGACATATTAGGAAGGGGCTGCCACTTATCAACCTGGAACACTTGCCTGACACTAACACTACACCGTGTTTACATTTTTTTTTTCATGTGAAGGCCAGGGGTACAGTTCTACACATCATCTGGTCACCTTCCATCCTGATGTAATAGGAACCCATTGGCCCTCTAGCTGGAGAATCTGCAGTTCCTAGGGACACCGCCTCTAAGGCCAGTCCCAGAGGCCTGTGGCCTTGCCTTACAGGGTCTATACCTTTTTCAAAGTTCTCTAGGTTACCAAGACAATGAGATGCTCTGCAATCATGTTAGAAAAATTAAATGTCACAAATCTCCAAAGTTATGAAAATCATATCTCACAGGTATAGAATACAAAACTTTAGCTGGGCACCATGGAACATGCCTTTAAGCTCCTTACTTTGTGGGAGAGAGTAGAATTAGGAGGTCAAGGCCAACCTAGACCATATGAGAAGCTGTCTCAAAAACAAACAAAAACCAACTAAATAGACAGGTGATGGTGGCTCACACCTTTAATCCCAATACTTGGGAGGCAGAGGCAGGCAGATCTCTGTGAGTTCAAGGCCAGCCTGATCTACAAAGTGAGTCCCAGGACAGTCAAGACTGTTACACACAGAGAAACCCAAAAAACACCAAAATGGAACATTTAAGATACAATAGTAAGTTAGTTAGTTATTGGTGATTGTCTGAAAACAAAACACAATGACAAAAGCCACAAACTTGACTGACTCCTTCTCCATCAGCTGGTTAAGCATGGAGTCTTTTCCAGGACTTTTTACTTTGATTTTACAAAGCATGTTCCAGTAAAATATCTACTTTGTCCATTATAAATCTAAGTACACCCACATGTTAGGGCTTATGTTAATGGTTATTTTTAATGTCAGGAGAGCAATGGTATAGAAATGATGACTGGGATGGAAGGGAAGAAAAGGGAGAGATGGATGCCTCCCCCATGTACACTGCCCTTTGACTTCCAATTTCAAGTGAATACCCAAGTCTTCCATCATATAGGCCATGCTCAGCAGGAAGGTATACCAGAAGTCCCAGTGCAGACACTAACTTTCCGAGTCAGAGGGTGGCAGCTGTCTCCCACTTGGCCCATGGGTGTGCAGATCCTTATGCTCTTAACCCAGATACTGACAGCGCAGCACATGCCTCCTCCACATTGTGAGTCCTTGTCGCAAGCCTGAAACGAAATAAACCAACAGATAACTACAGATAGTGGGAAAGGCTCAGTCTGGGGAACTCTAAAATTAGCAGGGAAGATCCTCTTTTATATCCAAATGTCCAGTCAATAAAGTAATTGTCACACAAACACCAAGACATGAGTTCAATCCTCAGAAACCACAAGAAAAGCCAGACATGGTGTCTTGTGATTGCAAACCTACCTAGCTCAGGTCAATCCTTGGGGCTTGGTGGCCAACCAGTCTAATCCAACTGGTGCATTCTAAGCCATGTGAGAAACCATGTTTCAAAAAATAAGACGGATAGCACCTTAGGACAACATCTGTGTTTAACATCTGTTTTTCACACACATGTCTATACCTCACCCAACATGTGTACCTGAAAACACATAAAAGTAGCCTAATGCAGTGATTTAAAAAAAATAAAATAGAATCATAAGCTTCATTTGTTCGTATGCACCAAAATCAACACTGATCAGAATGTTTCCATGGACTAAAGAGCTCCTATATGATGAAACCCAGGATTAAGAAGGAAGAAGGATGGGAGGGGGAACAATACTTGGGCCCTCTTCTAGTGCTTTATGGCTGAACTTGAAGAGTAAGTTTATGCTAGCCCTGCCTTTCAGAGCAACACAAACCAAAGTACAAGATTTTATGACTGTTAACCTGCTGAATATATAGGGTCTAGTTTTTTAAAAAGATGGAGAGTGTCTCTAAATCTGGCACAAACCACTGCAGACCTGTGAAGGCACTAATGTGACATTAAAGGTGCTCATTTTTCCTTTTGGACATTTACCCTGTGCTTTGTGAGACTGGATATTTCTTGCATGGGTACCCCGGTTTCCACCATTTCCTCTTTCAAAATAAGAACTCTCCAAGGGTAAGAAGGTACAGACCAAGACTTTGCCCCATCTCACTAATCTTTCCTGTGAATGGCATGCAGAAAGGAACTGACTGGCTTTGGATCCACAGATGTGTACATTAGAAACTCAGTCGAATTAGCCACAAAGGGCTAGCAAGTGAGGACAGGCACAGGGCTGTACAGATGCACTTGCCAGCAGTAATTACTCAAAGTACACACCATACACACAAACTATAAGTATATACAGTCAAAGGATCAATGTGAAGGACTTGCCCGTGAGGTGGTAGATAAATGAAGCCAAAATATATTTGCAAGAAAATGTATCTTAAGAATTGTCTCTTTCTTAGAGCCAACAGCAACAAAAGGGATGCTTTGTTTTAGCAATGTCTAGTAATTTGTTGTTCAAAATAAGTAGTCGCTTCAAAACACAACTTTTTGGGTGGCTTTCCATTTTTTATAGATGCTGTTTAAACATTCCCATCTTTTAATTTTTGTCTGGACACTAGAAATCATGCAAACATGACCATCATAGTCCTTAAATTGCTAGGTCAACAATCTTCTACAATATGGTTTTAATATATCTATATGAAGATATCAAGTTCAAAGACTGTGCACATATGTGCATATCTGTGTGTGTCTGTGTGTGTGTGTGTGTGTGCATGTGTGTGTGTATGTGTGTGAGTGTGTGTAATGAAAACTTAAGGTGGGTATTTCCACCAGTGTTTTAACAGATTTACAAAACTCTAACTTCCGAAGCCCCAGCAGCTCTTTTTCTAAGTCCATAAAAAAAAAAAAAAAAATGTCAGATGCAATCTTTTAAAATTCCATCAATTACTTAGATGCTGATCACCCTGTACACACTATATTCAGATATATCACTAACTTTTTCATTTGAACCCAGATGGTTTCTGTCAAGGGGACCTAACTATGCTTTATTGCCATGTTGCTTAGAGAAACATTTTTCCAATACTCTTTTCATAACAATAAATTAACAACAAAAAACAAGAGTCTACATGACCGTATCACCACCCCCCTGAATCCCACCAGCATGTAAACTCGAAATGAGATAAAATTTCATTTCATAACAAAAAGCTTCAGTTGTTGGAAATTTACAGAGAATTGCATAAGTTTATATCTTTTTAATTAGACAGCTGTTTCCTGGTACCCTTTATTCTTCTTAACCCATTGCAGAGCCATGAAAACAGTGTCCTCCTGTGAGTGGAACAAAACGACACTTGCACTGCCCAGGAACCTTGGGGCTTAGAGGATTAGGAAACACTTAGAAGGAACCAGCAGGGGAAGGAGTAAAAAAACCCACCCAATCATGTTTCCATTCGCATGTGTTACAAAGACACTGTAGAAACTTTTGTTCAGGCACACCAACTGGCTACTGATGAAGCTATATAAGTGGTTCTAAGAATCTCTGCTCTAATAAAAACCACAAGGCATAAAATCAAATATCTATGGGACATAACTCAATGCTGTCATGACCCCAGAGCTTTTCGAATGCAATCTGTGTGCTAAGAGACACAGAGAACATAAATCTTCAGTCTTCAGTTATTCACCACGATGACCCTTCTTTGAAATGACATGCTATTTTATAACCTGCATGTCATCGTTCCAAACATATCTATATTAAAATCCAATAATGTGCTCTTAGATATTAAAAGTGATTAAAATAAATAAATATGCCAGCAACTTTTTTTTTCTTTGATGAGTAAAATGACAACAGCCAAGGTTCTGCTGGGCTAGTAAGACAGACTTCAGAAATGCTGTGCCGTGAACTCATTCTTCAGATAGACAAAATGAAAATTCAGAAGTTGAGAGAGTTGAAGGAATGGGCTATTTCTAAATGTGATGAAGACGTTCTCTTTGAGTTAAAAAAAAAAAAAAATCTAGTGACAGCCTGCTCCATCGCTGAGCCCTAGGAGTGAGGTATCAGGAGTCAAACTTGACAATTTATGTAAGGAGAACTTCACGACGAAGAAGGGAGGGGTGAAAAGAATAACATAAAAATAAAGAGCAGCTGCCCCAGAACCCGATGAGAAGAGGCCACAGTTGTTCAACAAAGCTCACACATGGCCACGACCCAAGGCACTTCATAGGGCAGGAGCTGTGGAATTTAAGGTGTATGCTGTGCTTGCTCTTTTGCAATTTAAGGAAGGGCGGTCAGATTTGGGGGTGAGGGTTTCCAGCCTCTGGAAAAGATCTTTCTCACCAGGGAAGAAACTTCTTTCAGCTACTAAATAGAACAGCAGATCAAACCCAAGGAGCGCGGGAGGGAGAGGTGGGGAAGGCTCTGCTGAGGCAGTTAATTCCACAGTGTGCCCGGCTGTTCCCTGTCTTGGGAGCAGGACAGGTTCCCAAGTGGCCAAAGGGCGATCCAGGAGAATGTCACAGCGGGCACACCCTTCCCAGTGCCTATGCACCCCGGGCCTGTTGTCCCTGTGCCTGCGATCTGGTCGCGACAGGTGCGCAGACAGCTTACCCCGGTGATGACCGCAGCATCCCCGGCGGGCGGCGTGAACAAGGGCGGCAGCAGCAGGAGTAGCAGTAGCGGGGCACAGCGCGGGCCCCCCATGGTGCCCCGGGGACACGGCGGCGGTTGGGACACGCGATCAGGGACGTTGGGGACTCGTGGCCGGGTTGCTCTGCCGAGCCGCGAGCCTGACGGCAGTTATAAAGGCGAGCCCCGCGGTGACTCACGCCCGGCAGCACGCGGGGGGCACGGCGCGGGCACACACCCCGCGCCCCACGCGCATACGCGCACGTGCCCCCGCGCCCCATGCGCACAGGCGCCACGCGGGCAGAGCCCCCCGCGGGGCGCCGCAGCCCTAGACAGCCTTCCTGTTGCTTTTGTAGTTTCAGAAAGCCGCCTCCTTCGCTGTCCTGCTTTCCAGAGCTCCACGTGTTCAGCCCCCATACTCTGAGGCACGTCATTTGCTATACAGATGTGCAGAGGGTGCCCACGACGTGCCGGGCGCGTCGGACACAACTGCCCTGTATTTGTACACATCTGTTCAGCATGTCTACAGTGAGCGTTCCATCCATGCGTGCCAGGTACTGCTACTGGCTCTGTCCTGCAGTGGCACAACTTAGAAAAGACAACAAACAAACAAACAAAGGCAGCGGAGGCGTGTTTGGTAGGGTGGGGGAAGAAAGCACCACGCACACCTTAATCTCACATCCCTTGCAAACTCCGGCTGCCCCTCTAGCTGGGGGAGCCTCATTTACGTTTTGGAAATGACTTCCCCTGGTGCCCACATCTGTTCCTGACCCTCTCCGCCCTGATTTCCCTCACGTGCATGCATTCCCTCTCCTATTCAGCCTCCAGCCAGCTTCAAACAGAACAGGATGCTGCCAAGGGGAAAGAGAAAACTCCCAGCTTGTTCTGCCAGCCTGAGGCCCTGGGAAGGCAGATTTCTCCCAGTTCTCTTCTCCAACCCAGGAAACTTCAGGTCTTATACAGGATGCCTTGGTTCAGGTCAGTAACTATTGTGTGTCCGCTGGACTCTTGTCCCTGAGACAAGAGACAACTTTGCACTCTCTGTGTCCCTAGCGTGGCTCCAATAATCTCATTTTATTTGTTTCTATAAGGATGATCAAATTGACTTGTTCTAGCTGGGTGGTGGTGGCATACCACCTATTACTCAGGAGGTAGAGGCAGGCGGCTCTCTATGGGTTCAAGGCCAGCCTGGTCTGCAAAGCAAGTTCCAGGACAGAGAAACCCTATCAAAAAAAAAAAAAAAAAAAAAAAAAAAACTTATTCTGAGGTTTGGGAGAGTCTACCTCCCTCCTAGAAAATTTGGGACCTCAGACTTTCCCATGTCCCTTAGGATCACAGACTACTGAAAGACAGATGGACCTTTTCAGCCTCTTTAATCAATACAGTAAGGAGAGCTGGGCCAGTTACTTTCAGACTGTGGGCTCCCTCATGCCAAAGCATTCAGACAAAATGTAAGGGGGGGGGGGAAATGAACAAAGGGCCCGGGAATTATTTGAATGTTAAACAGCTGGGTATTTCAAACCCCAGATCTTTGGCTGAGTTTTAAAGACTTTTGTACCCATGTTTTCAAGTTCAAGAGGCATCTTGAGACCAAAAACACAAACGGGATCAAACTCATTTTTAACTTTGAGAAAACTGTTAAAAGTGGATTCACAAGTAAAATAAGTGGAAACAGTAGCAAGTGACAGGCCGGTGGAAAGTTTCCTTTTCCAGTCTCCATGCCAACCAAGGCATGGGAGTGCAGCCCAGGGGAAATGTAAAAAACAGTCAACATGGACTTTAACATTCCTGCCACTCTTTTCTTTTCTTCTTTTTTTTTCTTAAATGGCCAATTTCATTTTTGTTACTATTGAATGCCAACTGGGTATTCCCTGTTTCTCCAAGCATAAAAATCAGGCCATATCTACACAGGGAAATACTAGCCTTCCGTTGTGACTGGCATATTATAGGGCTGTTTGCAAAAACCGTCTTCTAAGACTGTTAAATCAAAGTTGGAAGTACTTCAAAATATGGTTGGTTTGGGGCTCTTGTTTTCCTGTGCTGAGTTTGGAACCGGGGCACGGGGAACATCCTGGGCAGGTCTCTACCGCTAGGCTACCTGAATCTCTTTGGAGACCTTTTAATGGTTTTAATACTTGTGAGAAGAAATGAAAACTTTTAACACAATTTGTTTGGACCCACAGGCAAGTTATCAGATCAAGTCTGATTACAATTCTTAGAAATGGAAGGAATCAATGTGTATTAACTCCCAAAATAACGCAGTGATGGAGCAACAATAAAATCGAAATTCTGTTTTGTTACTGCAACCTGTTGGTGTGATCAGTCATTGGTCAAATTAGCCAGGAATGGCCTTGGATGAGGCCTAAAACTTACGGGTTTAGAGGGTAGACTGGCAGCCTAGCAGGCTACCACTGCTTGGCTGATTTGATAGCATGATAAAAGAGTGTCCAAAGAACTCCATGTTTGACAGTTGGAGTGATCTGGATTGGCATCTTTTGTAGTAACTGGACTAGCCTTCAACTCCTTAGAGTCTGTTTTGTTTCCTATGAAGTAAGTATAAAATATCAACTTCCTAGGGTCTGGCTGCCATGGAGGGAACACCCGTAAAGTGCTATGCACCAGGTCTGGGATAGACTGGGAGGGGTGCAAAGATGACCTCTCATTAAGTCTTACAGTATGCTCTCTCTTGATAGGTTCATTGAACACAGATACAGCTATTATCTGTCCTGCCCACCTAATTAGATCACATACACTTGCTGGCTAGGAACCTACTTTCCTGAAAATCCTACTTGCACATGCCATTACTCAGTACTTGAAAAATGGTTGATGTGCAACAGGAGCATAGTCTGATAAGGGACAGAGATGGGTTACAAGCAAATGGAGCACAGTACAGATGCTCCTAATCTATATGGATCATGAATGCAGTTAGCAGAAGCTAAGACGGAAAGAGACCTGGGATATAGGACTGGAATGAGATAACACTGGAGAAGTATACTTTCTTACAGCTGTCACACATTTGACCTACTACAGTCACCCTGGGCCCTCAGCTAAGGGAGACTTTATTTGAGCTGATTTATGGTTTCCAGTCTAGGGTTTCAGTAAGTATCACATAGAAAGTTATGTTGAAATTCTAGACCCAGGTACCTGTGACTTTATTTGGAAGTCGGATCTTTGCAGATACAATCAACCAAACTTGAAGTCATATTGGATGAAAGTGTGTCCTAAATTCAAGAACTGATATCTTGGATATCAATGGTGTGTGTGTGTGCATGCACACATGCATGCGTGCATGCACGCAGAGGTGCATGTGTTCTCATTTGTGTATGTGTGGGCCCATGTACACACAGCATATATGCAGGTCAGAAGACAACCTTGGTTACCAATACCAGGTGGCTTCTACCTTTTGTTTGGGACAGGGTCTCTCACTAGACTGAAGCTGTTCCATATAGGTCAGGTTAGCTGATCTGTGAGCCTCCTGGACTCTGCCTGCCTCAGCCTATTGGGATTTTACCACTGTGGGGATTACACACTCAAGTCATCACACCTGGCTTTTTACATGGGTTCTGGAAACTGATCTCAGGGCATCCTGCTTGTGAGGCAAGCACTTTGCTGGCTGAGCTATCTCCCTGACTTTTTACAGTAGGAAGGAGACATTGGACATAGAGATGGATGTGACACATCTGTCAGCCCTCCTCCCTGACAGCCAGCTTCCAGAACCCAAAAGAGTCAGAAAGAGCATCTTCCCAGAAGGCTTCACAAAGAGAAGGCCCTGTTGACACTTTGATTTCGAACTTTTAACCCCAGAACTGCAAGAAAATAACTTCTGCTGTATGAAGACACCCAGTTCTGCTCACTTCTCGCAGCACCTCTGAAAAACCAGCAAGGTGGGTGGGGCAGGACGGTTGCACATCAGCTTTCTTCTGCCTCTGCCTGGAACTCAGGCCTGACTGTGTGGTGACTGAACAGGTCACATGACAGTTCACCTCACTAAGGGAAGCAGCACAAATGTGGTTCGTGCTGAGATCCAGAACCCTGGTGAGCAGTGCCAGCTTCTACAGGGGTGGCTTGGACCCCTCAATGACTTAAGTGCACTTTGACTGATCCTAGTAATTCTCACTACAAAAGATAGTGCATATGTATGTGTGTATGTATGTATGTATGTACATATGTACGTGTGTATTTGTGGCCATCCCTTCAAGGGACACAGTGTGAAAGAGTACAAATGTGCAAACTGGGAGGGTTTTGTTTTAAGTGGGTAGTAAACCATCATTCATTCACTCACTCAACAGGTACTTACTAAGGACAAACTATAGCCCGAGTATTGAGTAAAGCACTTGGTGACAGAATTGTGTCATCCTGAGAGCAGTCATCCCCGCATCTCCTGGTGGGAGAGAAGCACAGAAGCCTTGTTGGCAGTCAAGAGGAGGAGGAGGTGCGGGGATGTAGTGAGTAGGAAGGAAGGGGGAAACTCGAGATTTACTGTGTGAACTGGCTGGCAGGAGGGAGGCTGGCATTCACCTGAGTGTGGGCAAAGTCAGACAGGCAGGGTGAGGGAGTGGCTGTGTTAAAAACAGAAACCGCTAACTAGCGCTTTGTTGGACTTTTTAAAATTCCCATTCCATGTAATGCAGCCACAATGACTAAGATTTAGGTGGAAAACTGTGATCTCTTGTTTGGTTATTTTTGTTTTTTTGTTTGTTTGTTTGTCTGTTTTTGGTTTTTAGAGACAGGGTTTCTCTGTGACTTTGGAGCCTGTCCTGGAACTAGCTCTGTAGACCAGGCTGGCTTCGAACTCACAGAGATCAGCCTGCCTCTGCCTCCCGAGTGCTGGAATTAAAGGTGTGTGCCACCCATGCCCAGCTCTCTTGTCTGTTTTTTGATGTTATTGTTTGTCCATGTGTGTTTATTTTTACCAGGATCCAGCCATGCCAGTTTCTGCATTGCCTGTAGCTGCTTTTTACTGAGTACTTGTGAGACCATATGACCTGAAAAGCCAAATAATATTTACTCTATTGATAGGAGATGTCATTCTGTAAATATGTTTCTGTTATTGGTTAATGAATAAAGCACTGTTGGCCAATAGGAAAGCAAGATAGGCAGGACTAGGAGACGAGGAGGAAAAAGAGGACATAGTAAGGAGATCCAAGATGGAGGACAGAGAGAGAGGAACGCCAGCCCCTCTCTCCAGTAAGATAAGACCAACTGGAAGTACTTAGATGAATAGAAATGGGTTAATATTTAAGACAGAGCTAGCCAATAAGAAACAAGTAACTGGCCAACAGCATTTATATCTAATACAGCATCTCTGGGTGTTATTTGGGGCTGGCGCGGCAGTAGGACAAGACCGGCATGAAAAACCTTACTTGTA